ATGTGTTAGAAGAGAGAGAATTGGTGCACTGAATAATGAGCCAAAAGGCTCTTTAGTACAAGCAATGAGCAAGGGAGAGATGAGAGGGAAGCTTACCCTATTGGCCAATAAGTTGGCCAATGGGTGAGCTTGCTTGTGGCCCAAGCAACCACAAAATGTGTGTTGGTTGGGATTGGTTGAGGTAAAGACCAATCCCCACCAACCACAAAATGTGGTTGGAGGGTACACTAACCAACCCCCCAATTTATAAGAGTGCTACACATTAGACATGAGCATATTCACGAACGTTCGAGTCGAACCGAACATTCCTTGTCTTTTGGCTAAAAAGGTTCGATACGAACATGTTCGAGTTCAACTCGAACATGTTCGAGTTCGAATGCGTTTTTTTTACCGCGCCGCTTCGAACTCGAACGGGTTCGAGTTCGAAATTGCCCTACGCGAACATCAAAGTGTTCGTGATAAATACCAGCGCGACATCGGCCGCGCTGGTTTCCAATTTAGGATTGTGCATATCTGGGATTGAGCTCATTTCAAGCTCGATCTCGTGCTTTTAGTTTAGCATGGCTTAGGCTCCTAGTGTACGCAAACATAAGCCAAGAACGGGTACTTAGGCATTTCCGCTACTAAGAGCCCGTTTATAGCAGATCCACTATATAGTAAACGCGGCTAACCGTTACTTGTAGTCTGGACAGACCCTTCGCCTGTGGCGAAAGGCATTCGCCCGTCGACCTCTCCTTCCCTCCTTTCCAAGGGATAACCTGATTTAGGGACGAGATCTCTGGCGATGAAAGGGACTGGTGATACCGGTTCAGGGTGGGGAAACGACGAAGGACTTGTGGAAAATCCAGGGGCGAGCTCGAACACGTTTGAGTTCGCCACGAACACTTAGATGTTCCCGTGAACATCTAAGTGTTCGCCTCTGAATGCGAACACTCGAACATGAGTTTTCTGAAAAAATGTTCGAGGGAACCGAACACGTTCGGTTTGAAATTTCCAGGTGTTCGAAAAGGTTCGAATCAAACGTGTTCGGATTCGTGCGATGCTCATGTCTACTACACATCTAAGTCTAGCCTATGCATGTTGTATAAAATATGGAATTACAACATAACCCCCGAACATGCATAAGGCTAGAAGGCTACAATCAAGAAGCGGGGACCAACTTCGGAGGAGTAAGACCAAGGAGACGAATTAGTGAAGAGTGAGCCGCATGAGGAAGAGCTTTTGTGAAGATGTCGGCAAGGTTGGCCGCGGAGTCAACCTTGTCGAGCCGCAGGTGCCCAGCCTGAACAAGATTGCGAATGAAGAAATGACGGAGCTCAATGTGCTTGGAGCGCCCGTGAAACACAGCATCCTTCGTGAGGTGAATGGTGCTGGCGTTGTCACACCAAATGGTGGGACAGCGCTGGGGGGCACCAAGCTCCTCAAGAAGGAAGGAGAGCCAGCGAGCCTCTTGTGCAACCATGGTGGCGGCATACAACTCGGCTTCGCAGGACGATGAGGGCGATAGCCGAGGAGCGCGTGGAACGCCAGCTGATGAGGCCGCTGCCAAGAGAGAAGCCATAGCCCTAGGAGGAGCGACGGTCTGGTCGGGAGTCAGCCCAGGAGGAGTCACTGTAGCCGCTGAGGAGAGGTGGGGAAGGGCCGCCAAGGGTAAGGACATAGTCCTTGGCGCCACTAAGGTACTGGAGGACGCGCTTGGCAGCCTGCGAGTGCTCAGCCGTATGCTTGCCAACGCCAATAAACCAAGCGAGGACGCTGATGGGGTAGGCAATGTCAGGGCGAGTGGAGACCATGGCGTACATGAGGGAGCCGATGAGCTCGGGATAAGGATGGGAGGAGGCGGAGGGGGAGGTGGGTGGAGAGAGGTGGTGCCCGACAGAAAGAGGTGTATGTTGGGCGCCGCCGCGGGCCATGTCAAACCGCTCCAAGACCTGCTGCAAGTAATGACCTTGGGAGAGTGAGATGGTGCGGGCGGAGCGGTCGCGGGTGATGGTCATGCCCAGATAATGCCGTAGCTCTCCCAAGTCTTTGCACTTGAGACGGCTGCCCAACTCAGCCTTAACATGCTCCAACTCTTCAAGGTCGACAGTGAGCAGAATCATGTCATCGACATACATAAGGATGTAAAATGGGGAGGGGGAGGTGCGGAGGAAGAAGCTGGCGTCAGAGCGGGAGGTGCGGAACCCAAGTTGAGCAAGGGTGGCGGCAAGTTTAGCATGCCACTCCCTCGGGGCCTGTCGAAGCCCATACACCGGTCGACGCAGCTACCAGACAAAGTCTGCTGGGAAGGGGAGGTGAAAGCCGGCTGGACGCTCCATGTAGATAAGCTCGCGGAGGACGCCTTGTAGGAAGGCGTTAGAAACGTCCATCGAGTGGATCTCCATAATGAGGCGAGCGGCGAGGTCGAGCACGGCGCGAACAGTAGCAGGCTTGGCAGTAGGGGAGAAGGTATCGAAGAAGTCAAAACCATACCGCTGCGTGAACCCCTTGGCGCAGCAACGAGCCTTATAGACGGGCGGCTCCCCTGGCAGCTGCTTGACACGAAACACCCACTTTCCTTTCACCACGTTCGTAGGGGCGGGAGGGCGAGGCACATCGACAAAGGAGGAGTTGCCGATAAAGGCCTCCAGCTCCTTGATGATGGCTGCGAGCCATAGCGGAGCGTCAGGGCACGCCATTGCCTCCTCGTACGTGGTAGGAACGAAAATGGAGGGAGCAGAGGAGAAGGCGAAGACAGGTGTGCCGGAGAGGTCGAACGTGATGGGTAGAAGCGAGGGGTCATAAAGGTGGAGGTCAAGGAACTCCTCATGGGAGTCCTCAGAGAGGGAGGTGTGGAAGGCGCGGATGACTGCTGGTGCTGCTGGTGGAGGCGTTGCCGGTGCTGCTGCTGGTACTGCTGCTGGTGCCGCTGCTGGTGCCGCTGCTGGTGCTGCTGCTGGTCCTGTTGCTGGTGCTGCTGCTGGTGCCGCTGCTGGTGCCGCTGCTGGTCCCGCTGCTGGTGCCGATGCCGTTCCCGCTGCTGCTGCTGCTGCCGCCGCTGGTCCCGCTGCTGCTGCCGCTGCTAGGAGCCGCTGCTGGTGCCGCTGCTGGAGAGGAGGTGGCTGAGGGGGCTGTTGCATGAGGGGCTTGATGCAAGACAGCCTGGAAGAAGTGACGAAGGAGGGGGGAGAGAGGGGGAAGGGTATAGGTAGAGAGGGTAACGGGAGGCGGTGCACCAAGGATACCGTCATGTGACCTGGTGTGGGGATACCGGGTGAGTATGGTGCGGGAAGGGGGAGGACGGGTTGGTGGCGAGGGAGAGGAAGGGGGGGGGGGGAGGGGTACTAGGAGAGGAGTGAGCGGGGGAGACAGGAGAAGACAGAGGTTCCGGGTCAAAGATGTCACCAGAAGAGGGAGGGGCACCATGGGACTGGGACGGCGGAGAAGGGGGGGGTGGGAGGATGGGGGGAGGAGGGAGTAGTGGGGGAGGGGTGGTGTCAGACCAGACAAGGGGACGGGTGAGAGGGGGGAGTGGGTCAGTAGATGTGGGAGAGGAGTAGTAGGGAGTGGACTCGTCAAAGACCACATCCCTGCTACGGATTAGACGACCGGATGGGGGGTGGAGGAAAAGGTAGTCGGGGGAGGAGGGATTATGACCAAGGAAGATGCAAGGAAGGGTACGAGGGGCAAGCTTTCCCATGGAACGAGAGCGGTCAGAGGGGTGAATGAGGACATGTGCCTTAGAGCCCCAGACACGAAGTGATGAGGCATCAGGCTTGTCCTTCGTCCATAGCTCAGTGGGGGTGATGGAGGGGAGAAGGGGGTGAGGGTAAAGGTTAGTAAGGAGGGCGGCATGAAGGAGGGCGTAGCCCCAAAGAGAAGGGGGACAGGAGGCGTGGACAAGCAGACATCGGGCTGTTTTGGTGATCTCTCAAACACGACTCTCAGCCACGCCGTTCTGCTGTGGGGAGTGAGGGAGGATGTAAGTCTGAAGGATGCCACGAGACTGACAATAGGAGGAAACTTGGTTGTTAAAGAACTCACCACCTCCATCAGAGTGAAGACGGTGAACAGGGCGCCCAAAATGGGTGTTTGCCCGCTCGAGCCAGGCGATGATCGCAGCCGGGGCATCCGCCTTCGTCCGAAGGAGAGAGACGGATGAGTACCGACTGTGATCATCAACAAGCACGAGAAGGTAGCGATGGCCCTGGCGAGTGGGAGAGGGATTAGGGCCCCATAGGTCCATGTGAACAAGATCAAGTGGCTGCGCAACAGCGGAGGGGGAGCTCCGGTGCGGCTGCTGCTTGAGCTTGCTCTGAACGCAGACGGTGCATGAGCAGGCAAGTGAGTGAGGCACATGCATGGGAATGAGCTGGTGAGCTGTGCTGTTAGCATGGGCCAGCCTTAACGCGCATGGTCAGGCATAAAGCACGCCTGTATTCAGTGACCACACCAGTCGCGACATCACTACGCCCGATTAACCATTTGCTGCTCTTTCAAAACTGCTTCAGTGACCACACCAGTCGCAACATCACTACGCCCCACCAGGCGTTCGGGGTGAACCCAGTCTTCCTTCCGTCCTCCTCGCTATACAACGCCAATGCTGCTGCCAACACCTCCGCCTACACCAACGTAGGGATGAGCAAGTGGCGAACACGAACGTGTTCGTGTTCGCCCCTACACGAACACCTTCGTTTGCCGAACCGAACACTGTTCGGTTCGGCGAACACTTTGAGCAAAAAATGGTGTTCGCCGTTCGCCTGTGAAGGCGTGTTCGGGCGAACCTCGAACACTGTTCGTGTTCGTCGCGGGCAAATTGCAGCAGCGGCCCGAACACGAACGTGTTCGGGCGAACATCGAACACTGTTCGGCGAACATTTTAAGCCAAAAAAAAAACCTGTTCGGTTCGCCTCGAACGTGTTCGAGGCGAACCGAACAGGTGTTCGTTTTTTTGCTCAACCCTACACCAACGCTTCCTTTGCCAACCCCACCCTGCTCGTCTCCACTTCACCCCCAACCGGATGTGCAGGTTTCACTTCCAGGACTTGTGTGTGAGAGGCGAGTCATCCGAGGCTTTCGGGGTGAACCCAGTCTTCCTTCCGTCGTCCTCGCTGTACAACGCCAATGCTGCTGCCAACATGACCGCCTACACCAACGAAACATTTGCCAATCCCTTTGAGCTCAACGCCAAGGGGTTGCCATATGGCTTTCAGCAGCTGGTGAGACTCCCTCTCTGCTTTTGATCTTTGAGTTTTGGGCGCCTCACATTTCAACCTCGCTCCACTTTGCTAGTGCGGCTGCCAACGCCTGCCAACGTCTCCAGGAACAAGTCCTTTGCCAATCTTGCAGATTGTTTTTCAGAATTCTCAAAAACAATTTCAACCTCGCTCCACTTTGCTAGTGCGGCTGCCAACGCCTGCCAACGCCTGCAGGAACAAGTCCTTCGCCAATCTTTTTGAGCTCAATGCCAAGGGGTTTCCCTATTGCTTTCAGCAGCTAGTAAGACTCCAAGGCAGTAGCGCTCTGGCGTTGCTGTGAGGGTGTTGGTGCGACTCTGGCATGCTGCTGCCAATGCTCCCTCCAGCAACTGCTTCCCACTGGTATTTGATGTGAATCTGTAACCTTGTCCCCTGTTGTCTGTCCGCTCCCTGTCTCTCATGCAGCCTGGCAGCAGCCGCTTCCCGCTGGTGTTTGATGTGAATCTGGACAACGGGGCAGCAACACGGCGGCTGCAGTACCTGGTGGACGGGTTCTTCGTGGACAACTACACGCGCAGCATCGACGTTGTTCTTATCACTCGCAACGGTGAGGGGCAACGGTGGTGAGATGCGGTAATGAGGTGTGCTCATGACAATGGTGCATCCACACGGCGGCTGCAGTACCTGGTGGACGGGTTCTTCGTGGACAACAACACACGCAGCATCGACGTTGTTCTTATCACTCGCAACGGTGAGGGGCAACGGTGGTGAGATGCGGTAATGAGGTGTGCTCATGACAATGGTGCATCCACACGGCGGCTGCAGTACCTGGTGGACGGGTTCTTCGTGGACAACTACACGCGCAGCATCGACGTTGTTCTTATCACTCGCAACGGTGAGGGGCAACGGTGGTGAGATGCGGTAATGAGGTGTGCTCATGACAATGGTGCATTCACACGGCGGCTGCAGTACCTGGTGGACGGGTTCTTCGTGGACCACTACACACGCAGCATCGACGTTGTTCTTATCACTCGCAACGGTGAGGGGCAACGGTGGTGAGATGCGGTAATGAGGTGTGCTCATGACAATGGTGCATCCACACGGCGGCTGCAGTACCTGGTGGACGGGTTCTTCGTGGACAACTACACACGCAGCATCGACGTTGTTCTTATCACTCGCAACGGTGAGGGGCAACGGTGGTGAGATGCGGTAATGAGGTGTGCTCATGACAATGGTGCATCCACACGGCGGCTGCAGTACCTGGTGGACGGGTTCTTCGTGGACAACTACACACGCAGCATCGACATTGTTCTTATCACTCGCAATAGTGAGGGGCAACGGTGGTGAGATGCGGTAATGAGGTGTGCTCATGACAATGGTGCATCCACACGGCGGCTGCAGTACCTGGTGGACGGGTTCTTCGTGGACAACTACACGCGCAGCATCGACGTTGTTCTTATCACTCGCAACGGTGAGGGGCAACGGTGGTGAGATGCGGTAATGAGGTGTGCTCATGACAATGGTGCATCCACTCGGCGGCTGCAGTACCTGGTGGACGGGTTCTTCGTGGACAACTACACGCGCAGCATCGACGTTGTTCTTATCACTCGCAACGGTGAGGGGCAACGGTGGTGAGATGCGGTAATGAGGTGTGCTCATGACAATGGTGCATCCACTCGGCGGCTACAGTACCTCATGGACGGGTTCTTCGTGGACAACTACACGCGCAGCATCGACATTGTTCTTATCACTCGCAACGGTGAGGGGCAACAGTGGTGAGATGCGGTAATGAGGTGTGCTCATGACAATGGTGCATCCACTCGGCGGCTGCAGTACCTGGTGGACGGGTTCTTCGTGGACAACTACACACGCAGCATCGACGTTGTTCTTATCACTCGCAACGGTGAGGGGCAACGGTGGTGAGATGCGGTAATGAGGTGTGCTCATGACAATGGTGCATCCACACGGCGGCTGCAGTACCTGGTGGACGGGTTCTTCGTGGACAACTACACACGCAGCATCGACATTGTTCTTATCACTCGCAACAGTGAGGGGCAACGGTGGTGAGATGCGGTAATGAGGTGTGCTCATGACAATGGTGCATCCACACGGCGGCTGCAGTACCTGGTGGACGGGTTCTTCGTGGACAACTACACGCGCAGCATCGACGTTGTTCTTATCACTCGCAACGGTGAGGGGCAACGGTGGTGAGATGCGGTAATGAGGTGTGCTCATGACAATGGTGCATCCACTCGGCGGCTGCAGTACCTGGTGGACGGGTTCTTCGTGGACAACTACACGCGCAGCATCGACGTTGTTCTTATCACTCGCAACGGTGAGGGGCAACGGTGGTGAGATGCGGTAATGAGGTGTGCTCATGACAATGGTGCATCCACTCGGCGGCTACAGTACCTCATGGACGGGTTCTTCGTGGACAACTACACGCGCAGCATCGACATTGTTCTTATCACTCGCAACGGTGAGGGGCAACAGTGGTGAGATGCGGTAATGAGGTGTGCTCATGACAATGGTGCATCCACTCGGCGGCTGCAGTACCTGGTGGACGGGTTCTTCGTGGACAACTACACACGCAGCATTGACCTGGTTCTCATCACTCGTAATGGTGAGAGGCAACGGTGAGATGCGGTTATGAGGTGTGCACATGACAACCGGTGGGCCACGCGCCGGCTGCAGTACCTGGTGGATGGGTTCTTTGTGGACAACTTACACACGGAGCATTGATGTCGTGCTCATCACCCGTAATGGTGAGAGGCAGGGAGGAACAGTGAGAGGCAGGGAGGGGGGGCTGCTCCTTGACAATGGGGGTGGCGGCTGCAGTGGATGGGTTCTTTGTGGACAACTACACACGCAGCATCGATGTCGTGCTCATGAGACGTCTCAAAACTCATCACTCGCAATGGTGAGACGCAGGGAGGGAGGGATGGAGGGAGCATATTCTCAAACTTCTTTGAGATGTCTCAGTATTCTCCTTCGACAACCTCTTTTCCTCTCCTCTCCCTTTCCCGATTACCCCTGTCCCTGTCACCTCATCCCTTCCTGTTGCCTCCCTTGCTGTCGCCCCCTCCAGCCAACAAGCAACTTTTCACCACCACCATCAACCATGTTCCTCATTTTCACTAAACCCATTTCCTCATCCCCTTGTACCCCCTCTTGCCCCGGCTTCTCTTGTCCCTGTTGCTCCCCTCCAGCCAATGAGCAACTGTTCACCGCCACCAAAGCCACCCTCTCCCTTCAGCCGGGCGGCAGCATGGACGCTACTTTCCTAATCCAGCCGGTCAACGTGGAATACTACGACCTGAATGTGACAAACAACGTGATACGGCTCGTCCTGGAGCTGCTGTTTGTGGCCGGCGTGGTTTGGAACGTAGTGGAGGAGGTGAAGGAGATGATGTGGATTTGGAAGGTGCAGCGAAGGTCCTTCTGGCATTACTGGCGGCAGGGGTGGAACTGGGTGGACTGGCTTTCGATCTCCGTCCAGATTCTCTGCATCTGCATGTGGTGAGTATACATGAGCATTTGACCCGGACGGGTCGGGTCAGGAATGCTGAGAAGGCCGACCCGCCCGGGTCGGGTCGGGAAAACCCGGACAGGTCGGGTCGACCCGTGACCCGTCACTGTGATTTAGTGACGGGTTTTTGCGACCCGCCGGGTCGGGTTGACCCGTCCCGTCCGGGTCGCGTATGTTGTAATTTCATATTTCATACAACATACATAGGCTAGAAGTGTAGCACATTTATAAATTGGGGGGTTGCTTAGTGTACCCTCCAACCACATTTTGTGGTTGGTTGGGATTGGTCCTTAGCTCAACCAATCCCAACCAACACACATTTGTGGTTGCTTGGGTCACAAGCAAGCTCACCCAATGGCCAACTTATTGGCGAATAGGGTAAGCTTCCCTCTCATCTCTCTCTTGCTCATTGTTTGTACTAAAGAGCCTCTTGGCTCATTATTCAATGTATCAATTCTAGCTTTCCAACAGCGTACCCAGTCAAATGACAGGGTTACCCGACCCGTTTTCGGATTAGGGTAGGGGTTGAACATCGGTTGGTTTTTTAGGTTTTTTTTCCCTCGACATTCTGATCTAGTCGCTAGACTGAATCAAGGCTAGTACTTCTGCGCTGCAGCTAGGGAGCCTCATACAGTCTTCACTCTTCAATGTTTGCACTATTTAAACTGCGTATTATCTTCAGGTTAGGGTTTGGCGCTCCCGCCATTTCGCAGGGTTGCACGACCAGGGGCGCAGCAGCGCGCGTGTAGCCACGCATTGGCGGGATCGCGTCCCCGCAATAGCGCGATCTCGGCCCCGCGTTTGCTCAGCGCGATCACGGCCCCGCATTGGCGCGATCGCCGCCCCGCATATGCGCGATCGCGGCACCGCATTAGGACAGGGCGATCGCGGCCACCTTCAGCAGCGCGAAGGCGCCACCTTCAGCAGCGCGAAGGCGCCACCATCAGCAGCACGAAGGCGCCACCTTCAGCAGCGCGAATATAGTTGTAACATGTAGTTTACAATGTAGCAATTCAGACCTAACCCCCATACCCTGCTGCTATGTAGCATATTTTGATCCGACCCGACCTGACCCGTGGTGTAACCGACCCGGTAACGGGTCACAAATACCCGTTCCCACGGGGCGGGTCGGGTCACCAAAACAGAGTCAAACCCGACCCGCTAACCCGACCCGACCCGACCCGTTAAGCTTACGGGTCGCCCTCAACGGGACGGGTCGGGCCGGGTCGGGTCAAATGCCCATGCTTAGTGGTGAGTGGGGGAGTGTGATGTTGTGGCGTCATTAGTGTTGTGAAGTGAATGTGGAGTGAGTGTGAAGTGCGTGTGCAGTAAGTGTGCAGTGAGTGTGCGGTGAGCTTTACCATGCAAGCCCGCTACAAACATATGCTATACTCTTGATGAGTACCCTTATTACTGGGCACTCCCTAACCCGCCCTCTTGCCCTCTGCCCTCTCAAGTGGTGCTTGTATTGATGTGCCCTGTCCCGCTCACTCTCCCCTGCACCATGCGCAGGATATCAATGGCAGTGCTATCCGGGCAGAGCTTCAATATGCAGGCACGCTACAACATCTACTACACTCTGGATGAGTACCCGCGCTACTGGGCCCTCCCCAACCCGCCCTCGGGGTACCTGGCTGCAGTGGCTGCTGCTGACAAACTGGGCAGTATTATCAACACGAGCTCAGCTTACTTCGCTCTGCAGGGCATGAAGTGAGTGCAGTGAAATGAAGGGCTTGCAATGAGCGGGTTGCAGTGAGTGACTTGCAGTGAGTGTTTTCCGGGTTTGCACTCTCTTTTCCCCCACCGCCTTTCCTGTACCCATGCGTCCCTCTCCATCCTTCCCTCCCCCATCTCTCCTACGCCCCAACCTCATCAGTGTGTTCATCATGGTGCTGCGAGTGCTCAAGCTGATGGACTTCCAGCCGCACATGGGCATCATCACTCGCTCCATCCGCGTCGCCCTCCCCTCCATCCTGCACTTCTTCCTACTCTCCCTGGCTGTCTTCCTAGCCTATGCCACCTATGCCTACCTCGTGTTCGGCATGACCATGGCACAGGTGAGTCGGACGTGTGTGTGCGGGGGGCGCATGCGTGGCGCCTTGTGTGGCAGGCTGGTGAGGGCTCTCCCCTCCATCCTGCACTTCTTCCTGCTCGCCCTAGCAGTCTTCCTCGCATATGCCACCTACGCCTACCTTGTGTTTGGCATGACCATGGCTCAGGTGCGTGCGTATGTGTGTTGTGTGTAGGTGTGGGCGGGCAAGCAGGCAGGAGGGGAGGCAGGCTGATGAGCCTTCTCCCCTCAATCTTGAACTTCTTCCTGCTCGCCCTCGCTGTCTTTCTTGCTGTCTTTCCCGGTATCCCGGTTTCCCGGTTTCCCGGTATCCCGGTATCCCCGTATCCCCGTATCCCGGTTTCCCGGTTTCCCGGTATCCCGGTTGCCCGGTATCCCGGTATCCCGGTATCCCGGTATCCCGGTTTCCCGGTTTCCCAGTTTCCCGGTATCCCGGTATCCCGATATCCCGGTATCCTGGTATCCCGGTTTTTGGGTATCCCCGTATCCCGGTTTCCCGGTATCCCAGTATCCTGGTATCCCGGTATCCCGGTTTCCCGGTTTCCCGGTATCCCGGTATCCCGGTATCCCGGTATCCCGGTCTCCCGGTTCCCCCGTATCCCGGTATCACGGTATCAAGGTATCCCGGTATCCCGGTATCCCGGTTTTCGGGTATCCCGTATCCCGGTTTCCCGGTATCCCGGTATCCTGGTATCCCGGTATCCCGGTTTCCCGGTTTCCCGGTATCTCGGTATCCCGGTTTCCCGGTATCCCGGTATCCTGGTATCCCAGTATCCCGGTTTCCCGGTTTCCCGGTTTCCCGGTATCCCGGTATCCCGGTATCCCGGTATCCCAGTATCCCGGTTTCCCGGTTTCCTGGTCTCCCGGTATCCCGGTATCCTGATATCCCGGTATCCCGGTATCCCGGTTTTCGGGTATCCCCGTATCCCGGTTTCCCGGTATCCCGGTATCCTGGTATCCTGGTATCCCGGTTTCCCGGTTTCCCGGTATCCCGGTATCCCGGTATCCTGGTATCCTGGTATCCCGGTTTCCCGGTATCCTATCCCAATATCCCGGTATCCCGGTTTCCCGGTTTCCCGGTATCCCGGTTTCCCGGTATCCCGGTATCCCGGTTATCCCGGTATCCCGATTTCCCGGTTTCCCGGTATCCCGGTATCCCGGTATCCCGGTTTCCCGGTTTCCCGGTTTCCCGGTATCCAGGTATCCCGGTTTCCCGGTTTCCCGGTTTCCCGGTTTCCCGGTATCCCCATATCCCGGTATCCCGGTATCCCGGTTTCCCGGTTCCCGGTATCCCGGTATCCCGGTTTCCCGGTTTCCCGGTTTCCCCCGTATCCCGGTATCCCGGTATCCCGGTATCCCGGTATCCCGGTTTCCCGGTATCCCGGTATCCCGGTATCCCGGTATCCCGATTTCCCGGTTTCCGGTATCCCGGTATCCCGGTTTCCCGGTTTCCCGGTTTCCCGGTATCCAGGTATCCCGGTTTCCCAGTATCCAATCCCGGTATCCCGGTATCCCGGTATCCGGTCTCCGGTATCCCGGTCTCCCGGTCTCCCGGTCTCCCGGTATCCTGGTCTCCCGGTCTCCCGGTCTCCGGGTCTCCCGGTCTCCCGGTCTCCCGGTATCCCGGTATCCCGGTTTCCCGGTATCCCGGTATCCGGTATCCCGGTATCCCGATTTCCCGGTTTCCCGGTATCCCGGTATCCGGTATCCCGGTTTCCCGGTTTCCCGGTATCCCGGTATCCCGGTATCCCGGTTTCCCCGGTATCCCGGTATCCCGGTTTCCGGTATCCCGGTTTTCCCGGTTGCCCGGTATCCCGGTATCCTGGTATCCCGGTATCCCGGTTTCCCGGTTTCCCGGTTTCCCAGTTTCTCGGTATCCCGGTATCCCAATATCCCGATCTCCCGGTATCCCGGTATCCCGGTTTCGGGTATCCCCTTATCCCAGTTTGCCGATTTCCCGGTATCCCGGTATCCTGGTATCCGGTATCCCGGTTTCCCGGTTTCCTGGTATCCCGGTATCCCGGTATCCCGGTTTCCCGGTTTTCCCTGGTTCCCGGTATCCCGGTTTCCCGGTATCCAGGTATCCCGGTATCCCGGTTATCCCGGTATCCCGGTTTCCTGGTCTCCCGGTATCCCGGTATCCCGGTATCCCGGTATCCCGGTTTCACGGTTTCCCGGTTCCCCGGTTCCCGGTATCCTGGTATCCCGGTATCCCGGTTGTCAGACTTAGGTTTCCGCTATCCTGGTTTCCCGGTTTCCCGGTATCCCGGTTTCCAGGTTTCCCGGTATCCCGGTTTCCCGGTTTCCCGGTATCCCGGTATCCCGGTTTCCTGGTATCCTGGTATCCTTGTTTCCCCGGTATCACGGTATCCCGGTATCTCGGTATCCCGGTATCCTGGTAGCCCGCTATCCCGGCTTTCCCGGTTTCCTGGTATCCCCGGTATCCCGGTATCCCCGCATCCTGGTTTCCCAGTTTCCCGGTATCCCGGTTTCCCGGTATCCCGGTTTCCTGGTATCCCCGTTTTCACCGGTTTCCCGGTTATCCCGGTTTCCCGGTTTCCCGGTTTCCCCGGTATCCCGGTTTCCCGGTTTCCCGGTTTCCCGGTATCCCTGTATCCCGGTTTCCCGGTTTCCTGGTATCCCGATTTCCCGGTTTCCCGATTTCCCGGTTTCCCGGTTTCCCGGTTTCCCAGTTTCCCGGTTGCCCGGTATCCCGGTATCCCGGTATCCCGGTTTCCCGGTTTCCCAGTTTCCCCGGTATCCCGGTATCCCGATCTCCCGGTATCCCGGTATCCCGGTTTTCGGGGTATCCCCGTATCCCGGTTTCCCGGTTGCCCGGTATACCGGTATCCTGGTATCCCGGTTTCCCGGTTTCCCAGTTTCCCGGTATCCCGGTATCCCGGTTTCCCGGTATCCCGGTATCCCGGTATCCCGGTTCCCGGTATCACCGGTATCCCGGTTTCCCGGTATCCCGGTTTCCCGGTATCCTTTCCCAATATCCCGGTATCCCGGTATCCCGGTATCCCGGTTTCCCGGGTTCCCGGTTTCCCGATTCCCGGTATCCCGGGTTCCCAGTATCCTGATTTCCCGGTATCCCGGTATTCCGGTTATCCCGGTATCCCGGTTTCCTGGTTTCCCGGTTTCCCGGTATCCCGGTAACCCGGTTTCCCGGTATCCTGGTATCCCGGTTGTCAGACTCAAGTTTCCGCTATCCTGGTTTCCCGGTTTCCCGCTATCCCGGTTTCCCGGTTTCCCGGTGTCCCGGTTTCCCAGTTTCCCGGTATCCTGGTTTCCCGGTATCCCGGGATCCCGGTTTCCGGGTATCCCGGTATCCTTGTTCCCGGTATCACGGTATCCCGGTATCACGGTATCCCGGTAATCCCGGTATCCCCGGTATCCCGGTATCCCGGTTTCCCGCTATCCCGGTTTCCCGGTTTCCCGGTGTCCCGGTTTCCCGGTTTCCTGGTATCCTGGTTTCCCGGTATCCCGGTATCCCGGTTTCCGGGTATCCCGGTATCCTTGTTTCACGGTATCACGGTATCCCGGTACGGTTCACGGTATCCCGGTATCCCGGTATCCCGGTATCCTGGTTCCCGGTATCCCGGCTTCCCGGTTTCCTGGTTTCCCGGTATCCCGGTATCCCGGTATCCCCGCATCCTGGTTTCCCGGTTTCGGTTTCCCGGTATCCCGGTTTCCCGGTATCCCGGTTTCCCGGTTACCCGGTATCCCGGTTTCCCGGTTCCCGGTTTCCGGTTTCCTGGTTTCGGTATCCTGGTATCCCGGTTTCCCGGTATCCCGGTATCCTGGTATCTTGTTTTCCCGTATCCGGTATACCGGTTTCCCAGTTTCCCGGTATCCCGGTTTTCGGTATCCCGGTATCCCGGTATCCCAGTTCCCGGTATCCCAGTATCCCGGAATTCCCGGTTCCCGGTTTCCCGGTATCCTTGTATCCCGGTCCCCAGTCTCCCGGTCTCCGGGTCTCCCGGTCTCCCGGTCCCCCGGTATCCCGGTATTCCGGTATCACGGTTCCCGGTATCCCGGTATCCCGGTATCCCGGTATCCCGATTTCCCGGTTTCCCGGTATCCCGGTATCCCGGTATCCCGATTTCCCGGTTTCCCGGTATCCCGGTATCCGGTTTCCCGGTTTCCCGGTTTCCCGGTATCCCAGTATCCCGGTATCCCGGTTTCCCGGTATCCCGGTATCCCGGTTTCCCGGTTTCCTGGTTTTCCGGTTGCCCGGTATCCCGGTATCCCAGTATCCGGTATCCCGGTTTCCCGGTTCCCGGTTTCCCAGTTTCTCGGTATCCCGGTATCCCGGTATCCGGTATCCCGGTTTTCGGGTATCCCTGTATCCCGGTTTCCCGGTTTCCCGGTATCCCGGTATCCTGGTATCCCGGTATCCCGGTTCCCGGTTTCCCGGTATCCCTGTATCCCGGTTTCCCGGTTTCCGGTTTCCCGGTATCCCGGTATCCCGGTTTCCCGGTATCCCGGTTTCCCGGTTACCATCTCATTGTAACCTACATCAATTCTATAAGCGTAGGTTCGAGACAGCCACCCAAACTTAGTTTGGGTGTAGAACCAGGGCCAACCCTAGTTGGGGGTTTGAACTCAAACCTTGACCCCCAAGGTTGGGGTGGGAATTATTGGTCCCCCCAATTATGTTGAACCACTTGGTCAACATTATTGGTCCCCCCAATAATCCCTCAACCCAACGTATTGTGGGGGCCAATAATGTTGGTTTCCCGGTATCCCGGTATCCCAGGTATCCCGGTATCCGGGCTTCCCGGTTTCCCGGTTTCCCGGTATCCGGTATCCCGGTATCCCCGCATCCGGTTTCCCGGTTTCCCGGTTTCCCAGTTTCCCGGTTTCCCGGAATCCCGGTTTCCCGGTATCCCGGTTTCCTGGTATCCCGGTTTCCCGGTATCCCGGTTTCCTGGTTTCCGGTTTCCGGTTTCCCGATTTCCGGTTTCCCGGTTTCCCGGTTTCCCGGTATCCCGGTTTCCAGGTATCCCGGTTTCCGGTTTCCCGGTATCCCGGTTTCCTGGTTTCCCGGTTTCCCGGTTTCCCGATTCCCGGTTTCCCGGTTCCCGGTTTCCCGGTATCCCGGTTTCCAGGTATCCCGGTTTCCTGGTATCCCTGTATCCCGGTTTCCCGGTTTCCCGGTATCCCGGTTTC